TGTCACTTGTGGAATGTTATTTAGAATCAATGTTTTCCATTGTTCAAACTTCACATGCAATAATGTATTTTACTGGTTGATCATTTATTTATTGACTTATCACATATACTGAATGTATCATTTGTTTCTGTACTCTATAAAAAGACTTGCTGCCACCCACCTACCCATCCCAGGTAAAGGTGTTTTCTCTCTCAAATTCAGGGAATAGATCCTCAGCTCCATGCACATTTGGGTGTGTGAGTTTTGAGGCAACACCCAGCTTCAAATCTCCCCTTGGCCAGGGAAACCCATGAGTGGCTTTGGGCCAATAATTGCCTCAGCCCAACCTGCCTCTCAGGGTTGTTGTGAGGTAAAAATTGGTGGACGTTCTTAAGCTCCTATTGCATCTTATTCACCCTGCATGTGCAAATAATGCCATTCCAACAGTGTCATTTCTCTTTCAAGTACAGACACAATCAAGTTGGCTCCAGATTACAGGAACTGGAGGCTACTCCAACTTTAGGAATTCAGCTGTTATGTAAGTTATATTATCTAAGTTTTCCCTTGTGTGTTAGATCTTTTCAAATTGCTGTCATTCAGACTACTGGATGACATCTTTCACCATCCCCAGTTAACTGCCAAATGGCTAAGATGAGGTGATGTTTTTCCAATACTTCAAAAGGAGATCAGACTGTTGAAAGTTACTATTGGGGTATTATACCTAGCAGGTTTCTTTCTTATGCTTTAGCAGATGGCAACATTTGCTTGATTTTGTGACGGCTTGGAAGCTAATCAGCGGTTGTCCTAGTTAGTATTTGTATGGGAAGCTACTAGATAGTGCTAGAGTTGTTGGTTAAATTGGAAAATCATCCTTGAAAGAGGCAATGGCCAACCACTTTTGAATTATTACTAAAAATACTGCATGGATGGATCCATGTTCTATAGTTATCAAGAGATGAACTCAACTGAAGGGTAACTTTGCCTTTGTGTACTGCCACAAATTGTAAGAGTGCAATTCTCTTCCAAAAGAGATTTATAATCTAGATTTAGAATATTAGAGGAAGAGAAGGCAAATTAAGAATGGGTAGTGGTCTTATCAGGAATCACTAAGAAACTTCTTGACTGTTATTGATGGATCCTGGACAGCTGCAGCAGACAGATAAATCCATCTTACCTGAAATACAAATAAATGGCCAGAATTTGGAGATAGCAGACCACAGAGCATTGATTTTCTCAGATGGAAATCTAGTGCTGATTGAAAAGTATGATCATTATTAAAGCTTTTGGTTGATAAGGGTTTTTTAAAGGATAAAATAAAGAGAATCTTACTGCAAAAAGAACTGAAAACATAGTAATTATTAATATCAAATTAAAGGCTGTTTTTAGAATTATTTGGACTTCAGTAAGGCATTTGATAAAGTACATCACAGCCTACTACTTGACAAGATAGAAAAATGTGGGGTAGACAGCATCACCACCAGATGGATCCGTAGCTGGCTGACCGGCCGCACTCAGCGAGTGGTCCTCAATGGAACTGCATCTACATGGAGGGAAGTGTGTAGTGGGGTGCCCCAAGGCTCTGTTCTGGGCCCAGTGCTCTTCAACATCTTCATCAACGATTTGGATGAGGGGATAGATGGGGAACTCATCAAATTTGCAGACGACACCAAGCTGGCAGGAATAGCCAACACTCCAGAAGACAGGCTTAAGATACAGAAGGATCTGGACAGACTTGNCTCCAGAAGTGGTGAATGCTCCAACACTGGAAGTTTTTAAGAAGAGACTGGACAACCATTTGTCCGAAATGGTATAGGGTTTCCTGCCTGAGCAGGGGGTTGGACTAGATGACCTTCAAGGTCCCTTCCAACTTTACTATTATTATTATTATTATTATTATTATTATTATTATTATTATTATTATTATTATTATTATTAAATAAAGAAGAATCAGTTTGTGCCATAACAACACTAGAGGTCTTACAAACTGTAATGTTTCTAAATATGCTTACTTTATTCCTTCTATTTAGCCTTTTAAGTGCATCTAACTAAGGAAGAAATAAACAAAGCAGACAGATGCATAGCTAATAAGCTTTATAGGTTTGGCTATTTATATTAGCTCTATGAATTTTATAGTTTTGTTAAATATATTTACTTACCTACATTCATATGAGTTAAGGTGAAAAACGTAAGGATGCTTATTACATTTTATTGGGTTTTTTTGTTTTCTTTTTACTTTACATAATGTATCTTTCTCTTTAATATGCTATTACATTGTGTGAAAAGATGGTTTAAACTCAATATATGTCATGATCTATATTATTCCAGTTAGGTTAAATATGAGGAATAGTTTGTAACTGTGCTTATATTCATTTTTTATGATTTATGAATCTGAAGGAAAATCCTCAATAGCTTTGCACCAAAACTTGATGCTTTCTGGTTTAGGCTATAAAGGAAGTTATTGCATAGTATTACTGATTACACTTTCTATTTTCAGACATGCCAGTACCTCTTGACTGTTCAGGTGCTGAGTCTCAGTTGAGCCATACTCCTCTGCCAGTGCGTGCCTTCTTCAGGGAAGCAGAATGCAGTTTTCTCCAGCATGAGGGATGGATAATCCACTTGATTGGGTTTCCTGAAGTCCCTTGTACCCAATAAGACTAAGTCTGAGATAGCCACGCCTCCTGCCTGGCCGCACATGCCCAGTTCTGACTTAGTCTTACCCAGACAAGGCGTGTTGTTTCTCTGCTCTCCAGACTCAGGTTTTATTTAACTATTTTGGATATTTCTAC